GGGCATTTTTGTGCCATGGGTTTGGCTCTAACCTGGGGAATGGGGGCAGCAGAGGAGTACCCAGCTCCAGGGCTGCCAGATTTAGCAAATAAAAAATTCCAGAGGCCTAGTTCAATCTGAACTTCAGATAAAGAATAAATAATTTCATAGTGTAAATTTGGCATTTTGTCAGGTAACTTACCTGGGCCAGGTACAGTTCACACCTTCGCTTACACCTCCATGCTCTGGGCACATCCCTCTAACAACACCACACAGCAGGCTGCCCCTGAGGAGCTCAGCCAACAGTCAGATGCCAAGACGCCTGCACCGCTCCCCATGCCTCTCACCCACAACACACACGTCTTTGGGATGGATTGGCTCCCAAATGGATTCTTTCACCTACAGACCAAATGTGCAGAAAGAAAAAAATAATACCATCGGAAAGTTCAGGTTTAGATCATTAAAAATGTGAATGTTGGTGATGGTTAAGAGCCATTGGCCATCCCAACCCCCCGCCCTGCACCCCCCTGCACCCCATAATGCAGATCTATCAAGAATGAATTCCAATCTGGTAAATGGTACGTTTGGACCCCCCTGAGACCAATATTGCACAAACGGTTATCTCCTTTTAAAACATAACATTTAACTACTCCTTACCATCGCAATGCTGGTTTCTTTTAGGAAGATTCTAAAATACAAATAAAAAGGAGGAAATGCAAGTCACCCATAATCCCTCCACTCTTAAAGAGCCATAGGCAACAGCCTGGAGTCGGAGAAACTTTTTCGACACGTGTCCCATTATTTTGATTTGCTATTAACGAAAGGGGAGAGGAGGATTATGCTGTCAGGGAGTCCACAGGGAGCCACCTCCGAAAGGCTTTCCGCGTGGAGGCCTGTGAAGGGGGCAGCTGCAGGCAGGAGGATAATCTCCCTCCTGCCTCCCAAAGCTGATTACGGGGAGGGGAGGAGGGGCCCACCGATCCAGAAGTCGTGAGTTGTCAAATATTAGCAACACTCAGCAAACAACCACAGGACAGCTCTCAGGTGCAAGGGTTGCTGCAAGCTGGACACATTAGTCCTCAGTCCTTCCCCACCCCTCCCTTCAGGGAACTGAGGCTGCTTCAAGAGGCCCACTGCAGCTGCTGTGAGTGACTAAACCGAGCTGTGTCCTATGGCAAAGTTCCCGGGACACCGGTTACAAGGCTGTCCCCACACACCTGAGTTTTTCTCATGGAAATGTGCTTTTGGCCAGTCTGCAGCTGAGCCCATCTCCTAAATTACTAGGACATCAAACTTAAGAAAGTGACAAGCAAGATTTTTTTTCTTTCTAAGGAGAGATGGATAAGATGACTTCTACTCTCATGCTTTACTAATGAGCCCAGTTCTCCTTGTTGAGGGGAAAAAGGTAGAATGGAGCTGCTGAAAAGGTCAGTTGGCCTTGGTCTGTTGCTGTCCGTGGTGAGCGCCCTGCGTGGACAGGGCAGGTGATGTGGGGTGGGCGTGCCATGTCTCTCTGTCCTCTCTTTTCCTGAGGACCTCTGGCTGTTACGGGTGAGACAGAGGTGAGTGTGTTGAAGACAGACACCCTCCTGAGCTCAGAAGAGAGACAAAGGCCTCATTTCATCTCCATTTTTATTTTTTTCCCAAGAGTGGTGCTTTTCAGCTTTCGATGCACATTAAATCAAATTGGGAGTTTAAAAATACTGGTGTCTGAGACTCTCGGTAGATCAATTACATAGACTCTGAGGGGTTGGCATATAGGCAGTAGTATTTTTAAAAAGTTCCTCAGATGATTCCACTATATGGCCAATGTTGAAAACCATTCCTCGCTGGGTGTGCAGATGTGAGAGGAGGAAGTGAATTTCAAGTCAACTGTGGGATAGGAGATGGAAAGGGCTCCTGGAGTCCTTAGTCCAACTCTTTCCTGGGGCAGATGGGAAGTTAGGGTCACGGGAGCTCTATCTCTCCCAGAGTGCATGGTCTGGTCAGTGAATGAAAAGGGCTGGAAGAGAATCGAGGCCTCACCCTCACCAAACCCCATATCTCTGCCGTTTCTTTCTATTGTGTTCTTTAATTATTTTTTTAAAATGTTAATTTTTCAATTACAGTTGACATTCACTATTATTCTGTATTAGTTTCAGGTGTACAGCAGAGTGGTTAGACAATTATATACTTTACAGAGCAATTCCCCCAATGTTTCCAGCACCCACCTGGCACCCATGACTGATCTGTAACTATCAATCTGTACTTGTAATCCCTTCATTTTTTTCACCTAGTCCCCGACCCCTGGTAGCCAGCAGTCCATGCTCTGCAAGTTCACCACCTTTCCGTCGCTGTGGCAAAATCTGCAAAGAGAAAGGTGACAGAAACTGATGTTTTAAATGAAATTTCTATTAATTCTTCACCTTTTCCTTGCACTTGGCATGTTATAAAGATTTTCTCACTCTCAATCTCACTTGATTCTGGCAAAGACCTTGTGGGAAAGGCATATCTATTTTTCCATCTTGTCTATATGAGACTCTTCTCAAGGTCAATGAGGCAGGATGTGGTGGGCCTGGGACCATAACCCAGGCCTTCAGGGGTCTCCATCTTTTACTACACCGCTGACCACACACAACTTCTTTCGGCCAGCAGTGTGTGCACAGGTGAGGGAAGGTCTTCTCACACCCAGACAAAGGCAGAACTGGATGCTCTCAAAACTGGGGGTCCACAAAGGTTGTAACAGGGAAGCCACATGGTGTAGGGCAGTGGTTGGCAAACTGCGGCTCGCGAGCCACATGCGGCTCTTTGGCCCCTTGAGTGTGGCCCTTCCACAAAATACCACATGCGGGCGCGCACGTACAGTGCAATTGAAACTTCGTGGCCCATGCGCAGAAGTCTGTATTTTGTGGAAGAGCCACACCCAAGGGGCCAAAGTGCCGCATGTGGCTCTCGAGCTGCAGTTTGCTGACCACTGGAGGGTGACAGCTTTGATATCAGACAGACCTGGGTGTACATCCAGGCCTGAGATGAGGAATGGTGTGATGGATTGTTTCTGCACCTGAGAAATGGAGGTAACCAAATATACAGATTAAATGAACATGAAGTGCCTGATCCTTTTTTAAATTTTTTATCTTTATTGTTGAGAGTATTACAGATGTTCCCCATTTTCCCCCAATGCCCCCCACCCACCTGGTTCCCACTCCTCCCCAGGCCTTCACCGTACTATTGTCTGTGTCCGTGAGCTATGCATATAAGTGCCTGGTTCTTGGTAGGTGGATAAATGATCGCTTTGACAGTATCATATTTATGCCAAAGGGGTTTGGGGGCTGCGTGTGGGTGGACAAAACTGGGTCAAGGGTTATTGCCTGTTTTTAAAATAGGTTAAAGGCAGGAAAACTTTGAATAACAGGAAACTGAGAGATATTCTTTCAAGTTAATAATTTATTTTTCTACTGGGACGGCTGTTGATTAATTCTATGGATAGGCGATTCTCATTCTGACTGTGGTTAAAAGAAAGCCATGGAGAAGCCCTAAGTTTTCAATGATTAACACGGCGCTTATAGCCTCCTTTCCTCCCTCCTCTCTCTTCCTTCTCTTTTCTCTTTCTGACTCCTAATCTCGAGGGATAGTGGTATTTAATCAGAATTTAATAATGCTATGATCCAGGTGGGCTGCTGTTCTACACAATGTTCTCTCCAATGCTTTTAGTGGCTGCTTTGAAGAAGGACCATCAAGGGGAGTTTGTGATTTGGAGAAATACAGAATTACCCAAACAAACGTCAATAGGGATGGTTTGAGCTGGTGAAAATTAAAAAGGAGAAAGCCCCATTTCTCCTTTCCTGTGTTTGGATGGGTGATTTCATCCAGGACTTTCAGATACAATAATAAGCAAGCATTCTATTTTCAAACGTATAAGCCATTTTCTCAAAACAGCCAATTGAACTTGAGAGCATCTCCTTGTGTGTAGAATCCAGAGCGAACTAGCATCAGGCATTGAAGTTGCAGAGTGGAGTGTCCACCAGGAGATGCTGACTGGACTCCATGGTGCATGTTTCTGGCATTTTGATTATCCCTCTAGTGCCCCGATTGCTGTGTAGGTGAAGGTGATCATGCTCTGTAATGGGTAACAGTTAGAGGAGATCGGAACATAAGCTGGCCTGGGCAAGCAGTGCAATAAGAGAAAGAGCCTGAGAGTGAAGATGCTACTGGAGCAGAGAGAAGTACCAGATACAGTAGTTAGGAAAGAAATGTGGCTCTTGCTGGCATGGGGCAGTGTTGGCCCTCAGAAGGAGGTGTGGTCTTCCATCAGTGAAGAGCATTTAATTTCTTTACTGATTAGAACTGGTTAGAAAAACTAGAACTAAAAGCAAAATGGTAATTGTAAAAGATAGCTATTTTTCATCCAGGGAGACCCAAAAAGTTTCAGGTTTCTCTTCCTGGTATATTTTGAATACCCACTATGTGTCAGACACCTCACATTTTCTTTGTGAAGGATCCCATTTCTAGGGATTCTCCACAGGAGTGGTTCACCCACTAAAAGTAGATTTCTGGGGAAGACAGTCCCCACTTTAGGAGATTAGGGTGATGGGTCTGCTGTGAGGTCTGCAAATCTGCGTTTACCTGCAGGGGATTCTGAGGCACAGGCAGGGACTCCTGCTCTGAACTGAGCCTGAGCGCTGTTGACCAAGCAGCCCATGTTCCCTGGTGGAAATTCCAGTCCAGAAGTTACACACCAGTGGACTCTCACCTTTTTACTTTGGGAAACTGATCAGAGTCCAGCCTCCAAGGTTTGTGCTGCTCTTAGGAGCACCATCAACATTAGGAAATGGAAATAATACAACTTGTGAGAGCAACACCACGTTAATTTTGGCCAAGGATTCTCAGAGCTAGGCTGTAAGTTCAGTTCTAATCGAAGAAGCCTCAGGTCCAAAGAGAAGCTAGTCAGGACCAGGGAAGGCTGAGTCTATTCCCATGCAGAGTCGTATTCCTCTGACTTGCAGCCAATAAGACAACCACCATCCTTGACCTTCTTCTCAAGCCTTTCGTTTGCACACCTCTCCAAACTCACCTCTCTGCTCTTTCCACGGTGAGTGTATTAGAATCATCTCTTGCATCTACCACGTGAGGCTTGTATCTGGGAAGATCTACTTCCTCTCTGCTAAAGAGAGAAAAAAAAGTATATGAATGTAAGCATTAGCCTGGTAGAACAATAGCAACTGATAAGGATCTGGTGCTGATAAGAGGGTGGTCCTCTCACACATGACCATCAGTGGAAGTAAGAATTCCAACCTTTTGTAAATGTAATCTGTGTAAATAAAAACTGCATACACCTGGTGACCCAAAAGGGATTTCCACTTTGGGAAATCCTTCACATAAACATAAAAGCAAGAATGATCAGTGCAGCATTGTTTGCAGTGGAGAAAACTACAAACAGAATGAATCAGTACAGGCTGGTTGAGTGGATCATGGAGCTTCCACACTGTCAAGTAATGTGCAAGAATCTATCACATCGATGTGTCTCTCTCACATCGATGTTTCTCTCTCTCTCCCCATTCCACTCTCACTAAAAATCAATGGGGAAAATATCCTCACTCCTTGGGTGAGGATTAAAAACACACAGAAAACAGAATAGAAAAGTCTTTGTCAAAGCGTAGAGCAAGGCATAGAAGGAGACATACCAAGCAGATAACACTGATTTCCTGGCAGGCAAGATTAGAAGTTTGGGGGAATACTAAGTTTTTCTTTAGGTTATGGTTTACTGGTTCTCTGGTTTCAACTGCACATTTTACTTTTGTGAGCTCTGTGAAACGCACCTGTAACCCCAGCTGTGTCCTCCTTCCCACCACACGCTTTCTGTTCACTGTAACCCTCGGTCTTTCCCTCCCTTCCTCTTAGCATCTTCTTTCCACTTGGCCGTGACATCACCTCTTTTCTCCTGGCCCAACCTCAGCCTAACCTGGATAGGCCACAGCTCAACTGGAAAATGCTCCCTCTGAAACGGGCAATTTTGTTCAATGCAATCACAGGATGGGGGGGTGTTTGCTCAGGACCACTGTGCTTATCTGTGGTTACCTGTTGATAGAATTTGAACTAGATGGAAGGACCTGCTGCCATTTCTAGATCCACACTCCATGTTTCTGTGCTGCTTGGCAAACGTGTGTGCGTTTTTTCAGAACAGCCATTTTTCTGACTTCATGGACAAACAAACCGGGTATGTCACTCGGAACCTGCTGGCAACCCCGATCGTGATGGGCAAGGAGGTTCTGGCTGTGGTTATGGCAGTTAACAAAGTAAATGCATCTGAATTCTCCAAGCAGGATGAAGAGGTAATGCTAACCCTGGGCATCCAGTCGGAGGCTTAGGAAATGTATTTGTTATAGATCCAAGAGAAAGATGTCACACCTAATTTGCTTTTTTCTCTGCTGTCTGTAGGTCTTTTCCAAATACCTCACCTTTGTTTCCATCATCCTAAAGCTTCATCATACCCACTACTTGTACAGTGTTGAATCTCGAAGAAGCCAGGTAAAGGGGAGGTGACACTAGTCACTCATGCTAACTTGTTCTGACAAAGGGGCCTGGAGGCAACAAGCCCAGACCCCTCCTCTCCCCTGTGGGGGTTTAGCCACATGGAGCAGATCCCCAAACTTCAGTCCCAGATGTCTTCTCAAGGTCTGCCCTGGCTTTCCATTCCCACCTGCCTGCCATTCATCTGTATGTGCACTGGGTTCCTTTTTTCAGACTTCATCCAAGGTAGACATGATTTCTTCATCTATGAGATGGCAATGATAATTATAGTACCTATCCCACATGGGTACTGTGATTCTTAAATGGCCATTAGGTAAATTAGTTTACATAAAGCTCTTCGTAGTGCCTGGTACATAAAGCTATTAATTTCAGGAGCAAATCATTCCTCTGAAGTCTGTTTTCTCCTTGAGCCAGCAAAATAAAGAACAACATTGGGCCCTAGCTGGTTTGGCTCAGTGGATAGAGTGTCGGCCCTTGGACTGAAGGGTTCTGATGAGGGTCAACAGGAGCCAGTGGGCCACCAATACTGCACTCTGCCTAGGGACTGTCTCTGCATCCAATTTTAGATGACCTGCCCTTCGAAGCCAAAACACTTGGATATAGGGACCAATCATAGCTCATCCTGTTTCATAAGCCCACAGCCTTGCAAAGGGCTACTCATTCTCCCACACAGAGAATCAGTATTTTGTTGGACGTGGACATGTTCAAAAATGGAATTGCATTGTCTAGTGATATGGATTCATTTTATTTGATGCAGCTCATGGCTAAAGCTCTATATTTTCATAGTGTATGTTGTCCTAACTGTTTTCTTTTTAATATCTACTTTCAGATCCTTATGTGGTCAGCCAATAAAGTATTTGAAGAGCTCACAGACGTTGAGCGACAGTTTCACAAAGTGCTCTACACAGTTCGAACATACCTGAACTGTGAGCGGTACTCCATTGGACTGCTGGACATGACCAAGGAGAAGGTCCTCACTGCTCCACACATTTCTGTCTTGCTTAAAATCACCTGTAAAACACATATCACACAAAATGTGGTTCATTTAAAAATGGATACGCTATGTGAATAATCAGTCATGATAGTTCACAAGAACCAGAGCCAAGAAAGTAAGGGACAGAGGTAAAAAGTGAGCATTTTGGAGCAAAAAAGATCTGGGCTTGAATCTTGGCCTTTCTATTTTCTAGTTGTCTGTGTCTTCAATGAGTCTTTTATAAAAAATAAATATTAATTAAAAGACTTTCTTTTTAAGAGAAATTTTAGGTTTATAGAAAAAACGAGCAGAAAGTTCAGCTAGTTCCCATATTATCTGTCTCTCCTATTATAACATCTTGCATTCATGTGGTGCGTTTGTTACAGTTGATGAATCAATTTTGATAAGTTATTATTAACTAAAGTCCACAGTTTATATTCAGATTCACTCTTTGTGTTGTACAGTCTATGGGTTTGGACAAATGCATAATGTCATATATCTGCCATTACAGTATCATACAGAATAGTTTACCTAAAAATCCTGTGTTCCTCCTATTTATCTCTCTTTCTCCCTACCCCAAGTCTCTGGCAACCTCTGATTTTTTTTTTTTTACTGCCTCTATAGTTTTGCCTTTCCCATAATGTCATATAGTTGGAATTATACAGTATGTAGGTATGTAGCTTTTCCAGATTGGGTTATTTTCCTTAGTAATAAACATAAGTTTCCTCCATGTCTTTTCAGGGCTCGATAGCTCCCTTTTTTTTAATGCTGAATAATATTCCATTGTCTGGATGGAGTTTATTCATTCACCTACTGAAGGACATCTTGGTTGCTTCCAAATGTTGGCTATTATAAATAAAATACAGATCTTTTTGTAGACATACATTTTCCATTCCTTTGGGTAAATACCAAGGAGGGTTATTGCTGGATCACATGATAAGACTATATTTAGCTTTGTGAGAAACTGCTAGATTTAATATTCTATAAAAGAGTTGCTCTTTATTGAGTACTTTTAACTAGGTATCAGAGTAGGTGCTTTGTATGTATTACTCACTTAATCCTCACAATGACTTTGTAGTATGAATTCTATTATTGTCCCCATTTGCTGATGAAAAAGGTTAAGTGACTTGTTCACACACGTATAAGCAGTATTGTTGGGAATTACAGACGTTTTTCAGTGCTAAAATTCCAGAATTATAAATTAACATAAAATATGCAAACATGAAATTCATATAAGATATGGTAGGTCATGGAACAGTTTAATAATGTTTAATATATATCTGTCTCCAGGAATTCTATGATGAATGGCCAGTCAAGCTTGGAGAAGTCGAACCTTATAAAGGTCCAAAGACACCAGATGGCAGAGTAAGTGCCAATTGCCTTGGTGATATCCATACATGGTGCAAGGTGCTAAAACCAGAGGCAGCCACGCATAGAGGAAAGAGCATGAGCCCAGAAGGCCTGGGTTCTAGTCCTGTAACTTTCTGCGGGACCTTGGAGTAGTAGAAAGAGTACTACACAAGGGTCTGAGGTTCCAGTCCCAGCTCTGCCCCAAGCCAGTGGGGTGGCCGGGCCTTAACGCATTGTTTAACTTCTCCTTTTCTGTAAATCCAAGGCTTGGGACCAATGGTTCTCAACAGGGAGGGACACATCAGAGCTACTTGCACAGCTTTTGAAACACACTGTTCCCAGGTCCTTCTTCTGACATTGAATCTCTAGGGAAGGGTTGGGTTAGATTTATTCCCCACCCTCAACTGCAAGCTTCAAAGGGCAGGAATTGTGGTTTGCCACTGTATCCCCAGCACACAGGAAAGGCAAGGTGATGGGACACAATGTGTCCAGGCCTCAGGTTCTTCTCTGTCCAAAGAACTAGTGAGCTAGTTCTCAACATAGCCACCGGATCCTGTTTCCAAAGCAGTTGTCCAGATAAGCCAGTGCCGGAGGGGGTGAGTGCTCACTGCCCAGCTGGGAAGGGGAGACATTGACTGAGGTTGAGAAATGACAGGATTTGTTCTAATGAAGTTATCAGTCAGATATTTCTGGACAATAGAAAGGGATTAAAGGAAAAACAAGTTTCCCCTAAAAATTGTTCAGGTGAATTCAACTTTGTAAATTTAATTAAACAGGATTGCTCATGTAGATAAATGGCCAATGATGTTTCTAGTTTTATTACAAGCTTGTCATCAGGATACCAGCAGTTTTCTAATTTATATTATGCCAAGAAATGTGGTTTGGAAATAAGGTACTATTCATATAAGTTCATCAGCGAAAAGTGCTTATTGGGAAATAAGGTTTTTCTCATAATCTCTCTCTTTCCTCTTAGGAAATCATCTTTTATAAAATCATTGACTACATTTTGCATGGGAAGGAAGAGATCAAAGTGATTCCGTGAGTATCATAAAGCAGCTGTAGGAGTTGCCATTTATTTTTGTACACAGTGCACTTCTCAGTGTAGCAGTGATTTTCTTTCTTCTAATCTTCCTCAAGGACACCTCCCGCAGACCACTGGACTCTCGTTAGTGGATTACCAGCATATGTTGCTGAAAATGGATTTGTAAGTTATTGAACAAAATTAAATAATATTGAATGGAACTCTTATTAGCTAAGAGTTGCAAACAAATGTGAAAGCCAGAATATATCAGGGAAAGGTGAGGGACCACTTCCTTTGGCACAGGACATCGGTGAGAGCAACCTTGGCAGTTGAATGTAGGTTAACTAGAGACTCCCAAACTCTACAAGAAAATATTTTGTCAGCAGGAGAAAAATTGATCCATTCCCCAGCCTTTATTTTTTCATTTCCATATATGTTTATTCATATTTACCTTGTCACAAAAAGGATTTAAGTTTCAACAACCAAATAAAGCAATATAACACAAAATAAAAATAGGTGAAAATGCAAAAGGAAAAAAAAAATCAAGGGCAGGATGTAAATTAGAGCCAGAACTAAAGATAACGATGATTTGTTGCACAATGCCCTCCACATTAATAAAATTAGGCTGCACATTTACTCTTAGCTTTCCAGTTAAATAGGAAAGCTGATCAGGTACAGACTTTACAGTGTTCCTATGATAGAATCATATTGTTTAGAATAAAACACATTATATTCTGATACAAAGACTAGAAAAACATGTTTTCCTTGCTGTCTCCATGAAATAAATACCATGTAATACTGTAAATAAGAGCATCACCTATGTAATACACGTAGTGGACCCCAACTTTTTAAACTGTAGCCACACAAATTTCAGAGTCCTTTGGAAGCCCATGACCATAATTCCTGCTGGGTTTAATTTTATCTCAAGTACAGTTCCCTTGGTCAAGACTTTAGAAGCATAGAAGATTACTGACAAAAGAGAAAAATACATAAAGAGAGAATTTTGCCACTGATTGCAATGCAAGATGTAGTGAGTTGGTAAAGGAAGTGAATATTGTTGCCCTGGTCTGTTGGGTGGGCCTGGTGGACAGTAGGCTAGTTCTGGCTGTGAGAGGTCAGGTGCAGGAAGACAACAAGCAAAAGATCTCTGGTAGGTCCCAGAAGTCTCAAGGCCAGAGGATGGGGCCACCATAGCTTTCCCACTTGGCCTCAAAAACACTCTCCCTCCTTCACAGCTGACTTCTTTCTCCCGAGTTGGGCTTCTCCACCATCTTTTTTTTTTTTTTTTTTTGACATCAAAATTCCTCCCTGCAAGAATGTTCGATGCTTTCAACATTTCTTTATGTTGGCATTTTTCTTTCCTCCCCCTTCAGATCCAAGTTCCTGAAATATATGTGCAGCATTTGTTTGCATATTTGTTTTTCCTTCAGTGTTGTCCTTGTATTTTTTGCAGTGTTCATTCATCTAGTTGCTTTGAATTTGGAAGAATCCTTAGAGGCTGGGAGAGTAGGAAGGTGCAGAGATGGTGCTACTAGTAAATGTCATCCAGTGACTTAATTAAAAGAGAAGCTAACTTCAATATGTTGTTAGCAAATTTGGCCTAGCCAAGGTCCAGTGCCAATAATTTGCTTGTGAGCTATCAAGACCTATGGAAGAAATACTCACACCTGGTGTGTTCTTTCTTATTCTGCATTGTGGGTTTAATGGCTTCAGCACATGATGTTTCAGGACTTCTGTCTCCTCTTGCTTTACAGATATGTAATATGCTGAATGCCCCCGCAGATGAATACTTCACATTTCAGGTAACCTTGCCCTCTTCCAGGCCGCACCTCTCAGTGCTGAGGAAGAGGGGAGCAGCACTGCCTCCCTCCCCCCACACCATTTCTCTCCTCTCCAGAGTCGGCTCTAGACTTAGAGACAAAAAAACACACCAACAATTCTGAAGCATTTGGAAAATATCTTTAAATGCTAAATTAATGGTCCAGACTATAACTGCTTTTAGAATTCTGAAAAAGAAAATTTCCATATGAGTGAAAAAAGTTAGAGAAGGCTTTATGCGAGAGGTGAGGTTTACCTGGGGCCTCAAAGGATGACTAAGCTAACACAAGGTTGAAGAATGAATAATGTGATGTTGAGTGCTTGACTACCTTTGCTTTGCTGCCTACTGTGTAGGTGCCACATCATGGTTCCATGATTCTCAGACTTGATCCATGAGGGCATCAGAAGTACCCAATAATTTACTCAAGATGCATGCCCAGAGGTTATGAAACAAGCTAAAAAAATTAAACAAACACATTCATATGGCCCTGGGGCCACACTTTGAAAAACATTCCTAAATATCTATGTCTGCATCCCCCACTAGATTGTGGTCATCTTGAGGTTAGGGCCTGTGATGTATTCATTTTTGTATCCAGCAACTAGGTCCTGATACATCATAGGGGCTTGACAGATGTTTACCAGATAGAACTACATCACAGTACAACAGATTACCTTGATAGATCAGTCAGGAAAACAGAAACCACACTAAGTATTTCAACAGAAATAATTTAATATAAAGAGTTTTAACTAAACAGGTGTTGGAGGGCAAAGTGAAACAGGGAACACAGAGATAAGTGCTTCTCATCCCTAGGGCTGGGGAGACCAAGACAGGAGGACAGACACTTGGTTCTGGTACACTTAATTGAATGTACCAGAATACTTTTACGGCCATATAATCCTAGACATGTTCTGACACAACATAGGAATTGTGCATCTAACACCCAAAGATTATTTTTCTTTAAATTAAAAATAACCCCAGTGGGGAGTGATGGGGTGGTAGTTATTATGGTGCTGGGTTAGTTTTGTATCTCTATTCTAGTGCAGGTTACACACATCTACTCATGTGATGAATTTACATAAAGCCATACACACATGCGCACACACAAATAAATACATATAAATATGGTGAAATTTGAATAAGCTTCACAGATTAGGTCTATTTCCTGGTTTACAAGATGGTCCATTGAGAAAACTGGGTCAACGGTACCCGGGACCTCTCTGTACATTTCTTTTGCAACATTCTGTAAATCTATAATTATTTCAAAATTAAAAATTAAAAAAATAATCTGAGTGCCTTTATTGTTTTTAGAAAGGACCTGTAGATGACACTGGCTGGGTCATTAAAAATGTCTTGTCCCTGCCTATTGTCAACAAGAAAGAAGACATTGTGGGAGTAGCTACATTTTACAACAGGAAAGATGGAAAACCTTTTGATGAATATGATGAACACATTACTGAGGCAAGTGCAATTATAAAATAATGGAGGTAAATGAAATTCATGAAATAATAGAGGATGCATAATTATTTGTTATTTTGGAATGATATTTTTGAAGGGCAATTAAACATGAGTCACACAAGGTTGTAGCCAATATGTCATTGCGTCATTTCTCTTTCCTGACTTCTGTAAACTGCAACATTTTTTTTACTAAAGAATGAACTTTTGGCTTAATCAAAATTCTTTACAATACTAGGAAACTGGGAAAGAAGGTTTCTGTATCCTTTCTCCCCAACCCCCTTCTATTCCCTCTTATTCTTGCTCTCACCCCCAGCCCTCTCTCTGATTTTCAGGTCATTATTATTCTACTGGATTTTTGTAATTTCTCTCCTCTAATAAAGTATTCAGGATGCACAGTGCACTTTGGAAATCAGGGCTTAGTCAACTTTATGTCTGGGGCATTGTTAATATGTTTTGTTCTTAGATTAAAAGGGAGATTGATAGGGAAGCATGTGGTTTGCTGCCTTCAAATCAATTTTCCTTTCATTTTAGAGAATTGAATCATATTTTATATATTTCAGACTCTCACACAATTTCTTGGATGGTCTCTTTTAAATACTGATACATATGAGAAAATGAATAAGCTAGAAAACAGAAAGGAGATAGCTCAGGAAATGCTCATGAACCAGACCAAAGCCACTCCTGATGAAATCGAGTCTATTTTGGTAAGTGGGGAATTCGGTCCTGTGGATATTAGGTGGTATCTAACCAGGGCTTCTGGAATTCACCTAATTACCCAGAGGTCTGACTAATGAGAATAGGTTTAGTCTTGAGCTAAGGAGGGGAGGTAAAGAAGGAGGGACTAAGGGGGGACCTGGTGGCCCAGTGTACCTGGACCCTGACTGGACTTTCAGGCTGCTTGGTTGGAATAGCACTTTGTTAAAAATAGTGTATGGGCCTGTAGGAGCTCAAGTAGTGATACCGGGATTCAAGTATGTTAGTAGGAAAAAAATATTTCCAGGAAGAGAAATATACCAGTCAGCTATTGCCATGTAATGCAGCATAACAACCATAACATCTCAGTGCTTTCCAACAATAAACATCTAATTCTCACTCAGGCATTTGTGGGTTGACCAGGCTTTAATTGATCTTAGTTGGGCTTGGCTCCAAGCTGTGCATTTGGTTTGTTCTATGTATTACCCTCATTTTTCTTGATCAGGTGCTCCATAATAGGTGTTCTTCTCATGAACATGACACAGAGCAACAGAGCAAGCCCACTGTGCAAGCACATTTCAAGTCTTTACTCATATCACATTCACTTAAATTCTCACTGGCCAAACATGACCAAGATCAACATCATGGATGGTGGGAGAGAAAGTAGATATTTGCTAGGAGTGTTCTAATTACCACCAAATGAAGGAATATATCACACTATTTTTATTCCTCTGTTCCTTTTATTTACCCAGCTTTTAGAGTGTGTGTATAGGTATAGTTTTGATGGGTGGTTTTTAGTTGTGTGTCTTTTTGTTATTGTTTGATTGGTTGGTTTTGCTGGGTAATTTGAGAGTTCAGAGAATTTGACTTGAGAATATGAGATGTTGAAGATGAGAAGGTCTGGGGAGAATAAAAGGAAATTGCTATAAACTAAAAAACCAATAAACAAACAAAATAACAAAAAATGTAAGCCACTTATTTTTCTTTCTTACCTACATACATTCCCCCTCTCTCTCTCTCTCTCTCTCTCTCTCTCTCTCTCTCCTCACTCAGACAGCTTATGTTACCTTTTGGGGGCATAGAGAAATCAATTAGATTATTTCTTGGAGAAAACTCTTCATAATCAGATGCATTAGATTTTTTTTTTGTATCCAGAATGTATCTTTGTCATGAAACTCATTACAGCATATTTAAAATATATTTTAACTGATTTTGAGAGCAGAGGAATCAAATAGAAATCTCCTTTATAGGCATTTCACATCTCAATTGCTTTTACATTTTAGAAATTTAAAGAGAAGTTAAGTATAGATGTAATTGAAGATTGTGAAGAAAAACAACTTGTCACAATTTTGGTAAGTGTTTTACTTCTATCCTTAATGCCTTTTTAATAAAATATATTAGGACATGCTTTCTCATTTTTCAAATAAATGTTGAGTTTTTTCTTCCCTGACAACTTTTAAAGCTAAAAAGAAATGATATTTCTTCTAAAGAGTCATCTTCTGGCTTCCTGATTTCCTTTCCTTTGTCCCCTACAGTCTGATCCACACAGATAATTTAGAATCATAGCTAAACTAAACTATGGCATAAGGAACTTGAGGCACAGATTCTAGAGATGTCCTGGTCTGATTTATTTTAATAGTTTTGGATCTCACCATGGCCACCCCAGAAGACATGATGGGATCACAGAACATATGAACTTTCTAGGAACAATATATCAGGCACAATTATCGCCATCGCTAGCTTCTCTTTTGGAGCCTGGAGGAACTCAGTTCTTTTTTCATTGTCATTAGACCATCTCTATTATTTCTGGTTGAAATTAATTCCTTTTCCAGTTAATTCATCTTGTATTTTGTTGCATCCTATTAAACATACCTAAACTCATTTTCTACAATTTACAGTTAGATTCATCCAATAATTTTTTAATTCCAGAGTTAATCTTTTTCAGTTCTAGAATGTACATTTAATTTTTTTAAAGATTCCAACTCTGTTAAAACTTTTTATCATTTTATCTACTTTGTGTATCTTTCCCTCTATTTTCTTGAATTTATTGACCACATTTATTTTAAAATTTCCATCTCAATACCTGAATCACCTATAGGTCTGATTCTACTGCCTAGTTTTGCTCTTGGGTTTCAGTCATTTGATTATTTAAAAACATGCTTCATAGTTCTTTTTCATTGAAAACTGGACATTGTGAATGAAAACTTGTAGGGCCTCTGGGTGGCATTATCTTTCTGCAGCACTAGATTTTCTTCTGACAGGTAAATAAAGTTGATTTTAGATTTTGTTATAGATGATTTATTTCAGTTTTGCCCTTACTATGAGGGTAGAGGCCTTATTTCTAGAGTGAGGCCCTTCTGGGATCCCAACTGAAAGCCAAGCCCCCTAGGCCTGGAACTTTAAAAATTTGAATGAAATTGAAATAGTATCATATCTATTTCCTAACTAACTACCTCATCCTGTTTTCCTCTGTCCTTTTGCAATCCATGATGTAAGTGTTCTGCTTTCTAAACTGAGACATACTGACTACCTCACCTTCCCCCTTGCCATCTTTTATAAGGTGTGTCTTCCTATCCTTGCCACCACAGAGCCAGTGGCCTTTGACCTCTGTTTGAGGGCTCCATTCCCGCCCTGCATAATTTTGTGTCACCTGAGGATCCCACTCTTCTTGGTTTGACTTCTAAACACTCTCTTCTCACACTTGGCCCAGAAGATAACCCTTCCTTCTCCTTGCCTGCCCTCAACAACATGCATCTTCTTGTAAAATAAAATTCTGATTGACATCATGACACTTTAGAAATTCTCTAGTTGTCTATTTAGAGGAGGGAGGACCTTATGTTGGAGAAGCAATAAAATGGATAAAGAACCAGTAGCTTTACCAACACACACCCTATTTTAATGGAAATCTGCTCTTAGTTTGGCCCAAATCATTGCTGTGTAAAACTTAGGAACTCAAGAAACAAACAAGTATTTCAGAGGAATTCTTCAAAATTATCTTGGCATAATTTCTTAGCTACATAATTATTCATGTATCTGTCCTCACCACGATTCTTTCTCCAGGTGTGCACTTTAATTCTAGGTTCAGGGAAGGCCAGGTCTATTTTATAGGTGTAGCAGCAGGAGCATGTCACTGTGCTGGGAAGGACTGAGGCAGCTGTGCACTGACTCAGACAAAGGAAGTGAGGGAAGTCCTCCTCCCACCTTTGTCTTGCTTCCAGAACATTTCAGATCACCCATAGATACACCATCTGGAGAGAAGGCCCCAGAGAAATACCTCACCCATTCATCTTTTATTCAAATTTTCCCCCATTCATTCAGTAATCATTGAGATGCACTATAGTACAAAGAACTCTGTAAGGTCCTGAGAGCAGAAGATAGTATGGTCTGGTTCTTATCTGGTTCAAGAAGCACCCTGTTTAATAGGGAGACCAAAATATAAGCAATGACACTGACCTTGCCCTGTGTGGACAAGTTCACAGAGTGGAAGCACCAAGGGCCCTCAGAAGCCAAGGGCCTGCTTCTACTCACAGAAGGTGGTAGAATAGGAGATGACAGCCATGGCCCTGAGGTGTGAAGAGAAAGCAGTTGTGGGCTGGGCAGCGATTGATGATGGGGGCTTGGAGATGGCTGGAGATGAAAAGGGGAAGCAGGGCATACAGACCAGGGCCTGGAGACACAGGATAACTTGCTATCTGAGGGAAACCAAAGAGAGCTGCTGTGGCCAGCGCCCCAGTGAGCAGAGGGGATGAGCAGCCCAGGAGGCCTGGCAGGACGCACCTCAGCTGTGTGATTCCTGCAAACAGCAGAACATCAGCCTTGGGTGCCAGGCTTCCTACTTCTCAGACCAATCAAAAGCCTTTATTTTCATCAACCTCTCTGTATCACAGACTTACAAATGGTTGTTCTTCAAAACCTGTGATTTCTGCATTAAAGTGTTATTTTACTGGTTCTTCTTCAACTGCACCTGGGAATCATAATTCTGAGAACTTACTTTGTTTCCTGCTAAAATACACATTCACATTTAAGTATCACTGACCCTGAAATGCATGAAAAAACAATTTCACATTTTCTCTTTACGTAACACTCGGAACTGTACAGGAGCAATGACCTCCAGCAAGAGGCTATGTGGCACAGGGCGCTCCTACCACTGCCCAGAACTCTCTCCCATAACTCTTCTCTTGCTCTGATTTTTTTAAAATCCTCACTTGAGGATATATTTTTATTGATTTTTAGAGGAAAAGGAAGGGAGAGAGAAGAGAGAGAGAGAGAGAGAGAGAGAGAGAGAGAGAGAGAAACAGTGATGTGAGAAACATTGATCGGTTGCCTTCTGTATGTGCCCCAACCAGGGTTCCAACCCGCAACCTAGATATGTTCCCTGACTGGGAATCGAACCCAAAACCTTTTGTTGTACGGGATGACACTCCAACCAACCAGACTCATCTGGCTGGGGCTCTCTTACTCTGATTTTTATAAGCTGTGCTAATGTTCTGCTCATAAGAACATGTTTCAGGGGCAATGACAACATTTTTATTCATTGCTTTCTCCACAATGCCTAGAAAACAGAAACCAACAAATGTTTGTTAAATGAATAATAGATGAATAAATGAAAAAGAAGAGCCTCTTTGGGCAAGGAATCTGGGAGCATTTGGAGAGAGAAAGAAAGTGATGAGAATGAGTAACAAAGGGTATCAGAGGGCCCTATGAGAAATGGAGAAAGGAATTTTGTAAAGTATTACTATGAGTTGTGAATTGAATCCCCTCAAATTTTCTTGGACTCATGCAAATAGAATTGCTTTTTAATCAAAATTACTTTTTAATTAAAACAACAAAGACGAAAAGATTATTAGTATCCTTCCCATTTTACAGATGAGAACATTGAGGCTTAATCCATTTGGGAGACATGCTAATCCAAACCCAGAACTGAACATTAGTCTCCTGGCCCAAGCCATTACTTTGCAGGAAAAAGTCTCTGCCTAAAGTGATGGTCTGAGAGTGGCACTGGTGAGGAGGGAGCCCCAGGGAGAGGAGAGAAGGGCAAGGGTGTGAGGGATGAGCCCAGATCAGGGGCTAGAGGACCAAAAACCGTACCTTTACCTAAAATATCTGTGTACCATTATTGAGAGAAGGGACCTCAACACAGTAGTAAGCTCAGTGAACTCAGTAGATGCCCACTGAACTGATTGCTCCTCTGTATCTATCTGGTAGACCCTAATAGCCTTTTCTAACTCCTGCCTCCTGGCGCTTCCTCTCCTACCAAATCAGCTGAATACCCCTCCAGAATATCTCCTCTTTCAATTCCCCCCTCCTCCTGCCCTCGGCCAATCAATTTCTCCCACAGTCCCAGGCACTTGAAGCTATGCTCTGTGCGTTTTCTAAGCTCTCACCTTTCCCTGGTCTGCATTCTATAACCATTTCAATAAGTTAAGTTCTTTAAGGGTAAGGTGCTTTTTTAAATTTCCCAAGCCAAGTCAATACTCTTGTGCTTCATTCATAGTCCTATGAATAAGATATCTGCAAGTGTACCAATATACTACAGGGTCCTCATTCATTCACTCAATAAACATCTACCAAACCCCTTCATGAGACAGGCACTGCAGGTCTGAGACACCACACAAACAGAAGGGACATGATCCCACTCTGGTGCAGCTCACAGTCTGATGGGAAAGCGTCACTGAGCATGTAAAGAAAATGTGATAGAATTGAATTAAACAATCACTTACTGTTTCCTGAATATTTCTTGAAAAGGAAAAAAAAGAGAAGCTGAGTATCAAAGATGGGTGAAGCTGCTGCAACCCAGCACTTCATTTTGCATCATAGAAAGAAAATAGCCACTAGAACATGATTGGAAGTGAATCCCCCCTCCCCTTAGAAAGTTTCTTGATATCACTGAGTCTCAGTTTCACCATCTGTAAACTGGGTGAAATTGTGCAGGTTTGTTGTGAGGATAACACATGCAAACTGCATCACCCAGCACCAGGCACGTAAAGGCTCAGCAAATTGTGGCTGGTGTCTTTTTATGGTAATTTGTTTCACACCCAATGTTGGATGTGTGAATGCAAACTGACACAGTTTGTCCTTATTTCAACAGGAAGAGGACTTGCCAGACCCGAAGGCAGTAGACCTGTGTGAATTCCACTTCAGTGACTTCCCCATTACAGAGCACGGGCTGATTAAGTGTGGACTACGACTATTTTTTGAAATAAATGTGGTGGAGAAATTCAAAGTACCCGTAGAGGTAGATGGTCTTTAATGTAAAATACTGGGCGATTCTGTTGCTGTACTTCACTAATGTTTCCTGTGGTTTAAAAGATTAACTTCAGTTTGAATTTTAAATTATTATTAACTTTGTAAATATATCAGCTTAACCTCTGTAAACAAGACCAATCGATAAGATTGTCACAGACCTTCCAACCTTTAGCATTCTGTTCCAAAGTCTGAATGGTGTTATCTTCTGTGGGTGACAGGTTCTTACCAGATGGATGTACACCGTGAGAAAAGGGTACCGTTCCGTCACTTACCACAACTGGCGGCACGGATTCAATGTGGGGCAGACCATGTTCACTTTGCTGATGGTAGGTCCAGAGCGCTGTCAATCATAAACCTGCACATTTCTCTGTTGAACATGGCGAGCGAGAACCGGAGACAGTCCATCAGTCTAGATCAGTAATTCTGGAATTCATAGGCACAATCCCATAAGCCCCAAACTCCCCTGTAGATGATGCCAGACAATATGGGGATGCCTGGGCACTTGGCTGGATTGTCACTCTTAAGAGAAACCTTAAACTTATTGAGGACAATCACGTACCTCCTCGAAGGAAATTTCAGTTACCTGCTGGTTGGTTGGTTTTTTTGTTTTGTTTTTTTAAATTTATTGTCTAAAGTTTTACATATGTCTTATTTTTCCCCGCTTGACACCCTCCCACCCCCCGCCAGCCATTCCTATCCCGGGCAAGCCCCCACTGCCCCAGTGTCTGTGTCCATTGGTTATGCTAATATGCATGCATACAAGTCCTTTGGTTGTGGTTGTTTCTTAAATTTTGTTTTAATTACAGTTAACATACAGTATTATATTAGTTTTAGGTGCACACGTTACACCTGAAATGAATATAGACATGTATGTGCCTCACAGAGTGATTGCAATATTGACTACATTCCCTATGCTGTACCTTACATCCCCGCGACTGGTTTGTATCTGGCAATTTGTACGTCTTCATCCCTTTATTTTTTTCACCCATCCCTCCAACCCCTTCCCATCCTTCTGGGTTTTGTAATTGCCCAGAATTAGCTACAATACTCAGTAAGAAATAAAAACAACTTGCTCTAAAAGTACAGCATATCTCCTTCATTGCAGGCAGGCCTCACAGCACATGCTATAGAGGTGTATTAATCCAAGTAAATATATATATGTATATATTTTTTTAGACAGGAAGGCTAAAGAAATACTATACAGACCTCGAAGCTTTTGCCATGCTCGCTGCTGCTTTCTGCCATGACATTGACCACAGAGGCACCAATAATCTGTATCAGATGAAGTAAGTGAACACATGTGCAGTGTCGACAGGTACTTGTGACGTTTGAGGTTGTCTAAGGGGAGAAGAAATGAAAATCACCTGATACCAGGTTTAGTTGTCATATCTTTAATCTCCTTTAATCTGGAGTCATTCCTCAACCTTGCGTGTCTTTCAGGATGTTGATGTTTTTGAAGAGTCTAGGCCAGTTGTTTTGCAGAATATGCCTCTATTTGGCTTTGTCTGATTGTTTCCAGGTTACTAGATTCAGGGGAAACGTTTTGGGTAGGAATTCTACATAGACATTGTGTACTTCTCAGTGCCTTGCACCAAGAGACCTATGATATTAATTTGTCCCATTATCTGTTTATGAATAATGTCTAGCTGATCTCTTTATGCAAAGGTACATTTTCTCCTTTGTATTAATAAATAATCTGAGGTGTTACTTTGAGACTGGGTGAATATTTAGTTCCTCTGTGACCTTTTTTGACTGATGTTTTTAAACCCAAAGGAATTAAAGATAATCACTCTTCCCACTGGAATTGAGCTTTATTCATCTTTGTAAAATCTCCAGTGCTGACACAGAGTAGGCATTTGAATGTGAGTTAAAATTCTGATCCCTGCCCAGCCAGTGTGGCTCAGTGTTTGAGCATCGACCCATGAATCAAGGGGTCACCGGTTCGATTACCAGTCAGGTCAAATGCCCCGGTTAGGGGCTCAATCCTCAGTGGGGGCCATGCAGGAGACAGCTGGTCAATGTTTCTCTCTCATTGATGTTTCCATCTCTCTATTCCTCTCTCTTCCTCTCTAAAAATTCAACGAAAAGATATTTTAAAAAATTCTGACCCCTAACTAGGATATTTGGTTTACCAAACCTGTTCATGACCCCTCTCCTCCCTAAAGTTCTGTTCTTTCTGAAACAAAATGAAACTTCTCTACGAAGGCTGACGCCCATATTACTGATGTCTTCCTTTCTTAAAATTATTTATTCCATATTTCCATCACAACATTTCCACATTATCAAGGTACACCTGTGACTTCAGCCTCTTTCCATCTTTTCTTTTTTCATCTTTTTATTTTTGATGTCTCTTTCCCTCCCTCCAACAGGAAGAACTGAAGAAAGACAGGGTACCGAAGACTGAGGCCCCCACTTACATAAAACACGATCCAAGTATTAGCAATTGGGAATTTTGAGTTTAAATTTATCTCACTGTCATGGAGAAGAAGTGTTACTTGATAGTGATTTTCATTTTAGTTCCTATACATTCTTTTTCTTCCTCTTTCTTTTTTTTTTTATATATATTTTATTGATTTTTTACAGAGAGGAAGGGAGAGAGATAGAGAGTTAGAAACATCGATGAGAGAGAAACATCGACCAGCTGCCTCCTGCACATCTCCTACTGGGGATGTGCCCACAACCCAGATACATGCCCTTGACCGGAATCGAACCCAGGACCTTTCAGTCCGCAGGCCGACGCTCTATCCACTGAGCCAAACCGGTTTCGGCTCTTCCTCTTTCTTAAAAAATGTTTAAGCCCTAACCGGTTTGGCTCAGCGGATAGAGCAGTGATGGCAAACCTATGATAAGCGTGTCAGAGGTGACACGCGAACTCATTTTTTTAGTTGATTTTTCTTTGTTAAATGGCATTTAAATATATAAAATAAATATCAAAAATATAA